CATCTGACAAAGTTTACACGAGTGATTCAGGTGGCAAAAACGCCTGTAAGTAGGCAACATGGGAGGCAAAAACGCCAGAAATCTTGCACATTCTTGCACATTCACACAATCATTGTACACAGAATTTGACAGTGGGTCACCCCACTCGTGGTTTGCAGTGCGGTGGACCGCCCTTCGCCTTCGGCCCTGGCGCGGTATGGACTCGTGCTGCCGGAGACGGCCTTCCGAGTGGCGTGGTCCTTGGCCACGCCCAGGACGCCCTGCAGACCGATTCCGAGAGTCGCTTTCGTCGCTCCGTCTCCCCTGTCGCTGCGAGAGAGAGAGAGAGAGGGCGACGACGCTCGGAGTCAGTGGCTACAGGACGGCCGGAATGCGTTGGGGGCGTCCCTTTCGGCCCTTTTTTGCGTTCGGGGTCACTGCGTCACCGCGTCACCGCGGCCGCCATTAAGGCCGACGGCAGGCCGCGGCTACAATGGCCAGCAAGCGCCTTTGTACTGCCCACGGCACTGGGAAACCAAGTGTGGACAGCGCCGCTCTTGGAATGCGGAGGTGCGGAGTTTGCGGTGCGCCCACTTGGAAGTGCAGAGTTTGCAGTCTCCACACAAGAGTTGTCCACGTTTGCACCACCAAGGGTCCCGTTCAAGGGGGTAACGACTTCGGGAATCCGGCTGACAGCAAATTTGTAATCCGTAATCCGGATAACCCGATATTTTGAGGTAATCCGGTGTAATCCGGGAAATTTGTGAGGTAATCCGGGGTAATCCTGCTAAATCCAAAGGTAATCCAGGATTTTTTTGTTGTAATCCGGAGGTAATTTGGAGGTAATCCTGGGTAATCCGTAATCCGGCTGACACGAAATTTACCAGTCGCTACCCCCTCGGTCCCGTGAGCTACTCCGCACTTAAGGTGTGGAGACTGCAAACTCCACACGTCCAAGAGAGGAGGATTGGATTACTCCTCAAGAAAGTGTACAGTTGTCCAACCTTGGCTTCGCAGTCGAGTTCGGAGTGCACTCTGCTGGCGACTGCTGCGAGCGGCCCGCTAGACTTACAGTGCCGTGTCCATGGCGCTGGGGAACATCCTTCCCTCCTCGGCCAACAGTCAGGGCGCTATCGGCTCGAGATAAAAGACTGGTCGGCCGCCCTGCCGTGGCTCCGCCGAGCCGCCCCACCCCTCCGAGTAATTTATTCCGCCTCACCTGTCAGCGCCTTGCAGCTTCCAGCAGACTGATTCCGAGAGTCGTCTTCGTCGCTCAGTCTCTCTCTCACTCTTAGGGCGTCCCGCATAGGAGCGAGAGAGACGGAGCGACGAGAAGGACTTTCGGAGTCAGTCTGCAGCCTTGCCTCCAGCCCTCCAGTCCGGGACAGTATCGTCCCCATCATAAATAAAGCGCGTTTTGTCTCGCACCAGTCATCAGTTTTGGCTCACTTCACTCTAAATGTTTTACAATCAAATTTGAGCTCTGATACAGTGCGCAAGAATAAGGGAATAACATTAAAGGAAATTCTTATACAAAAGAAACCATTTTTTTCATTGGAAGGTAGATAAGAAAAACCTGCATAAGTCCAAGAAAGAACTATGAACTACGTTCTATAATTAGGTTTACGCCCTTTCATATCATGGAGAATTTGCGTCAGACATTGAGAATGTGACTGCAAACGTGCCCAAGTTACACATGCTTAAAGTTTCGTACTATTGCCCAAGCCTCTTTCATTCTCAGTGCTGGCGCGCTAGCATTATAACTTTTTGTTTATCTTTTCTCTTTTTCGTCATAAAAAGTTTGGTGCCGCGAGCGGCGCGTGTCGAACGCGTGATAGCAAATCGATTTGCGAGGCGGCAGGCGCGAGAAAAAAGGAAGATCAAGCGTCACGGCCACACGTACTGTACAGGCGCGCGCACACACAGACACACCTAAAACGAACACACACTCTTTGCTCACACGTACCAACACCTACGCCCATCTCTCTCTCTCTCTCTCTCTCTCTCTCTCTCTCTCTCTCTCTCTCTCTCTCTCTCTCTCTCTCTCTCTCTCTCTCTCTCTCTCTCTCTCTCTCTCTCTCGCTTTCTCTCGCTCTCTCTCGCTCTCTCGTTCTCTCTCTCTCTCTCTCTCTCTCTCTCTTTCTCTCGCTCTCTCTCGCTCTCTCTCGCTCTCTCTCGCTCTCTCGTTCTCTCTCTCTCTCTCTCTCACTCTCTCTCTCTCTCTCTCTCTCTCTCTCACACACACACACACTCACACTACTCACTCACACGTGCGCAGAGCCACGCGAAATACTCGCCCCCAACAACACTGCGTTCGACACGAGTTTGTCGGCCGATGCACGACGTTTCCATTAACTCGGCGAGTCACTCCCAGCGAGGCAGCCAGGCAGGCAGGCCGGGCATTCCCTGCCCAAAACGTCGGCCGGCGTTGTTGCCAATCCGCTGGCGCGCCGCGAAGCGGCCCCCCACCTGCCCGCGCCACGCCACGCCTTGCCAAGCCACACCACGCCATGCCACGCCATGCAACGCCATGCCACGGCACACCACGCCATGCAACGCCGTGCCACACCACGCCATGCTACGCCATGCCACGCCACGCCGTGCCGTGCCACGCCACGCCATGCCACACCATGCCACGCCGTGCCACGCCACGCCCCATCAATATTTGACGAACGACCTGGGCCGACGCCTTAAGTCCTTCAAACACCAAGTTTGCGCTGTCGCCGCCGTCTAGCCGCCCTGCCTGCGAATACATATCTCGCGCTGCAGACTGACTCCGAGAGAGTCCCTGTCGTCGCCCTGTCTCTCTCGCACCTGTACGGGACGCCCCGTGAGTGGGAGAGAGACAGAGCGAAGACTCTCGGAATGCTGCCGGCACCACCGCGGGAGGGAGCGGGTGACAGGAACGCAGCTGTAGTACGGAGGGGAGGGATGAAAGAACGGGGAGGAGGGGGAGGAGGCGGGAGTTCATTGAAAAATGACAAACTGCCTCACCTCTGCGCGCAAACTTCCCGCTGCCGCTCTTCTGCACACTGGATCGTCGTGTACTTCTGGCTATGGCTATGGACTTTTTCCATAGCTACTGACAGATTCGTACTACTACATACTATGTTAGCTTGTGTACATAACTTAGGCAGGGATCCTTACCTCGAAAGGGCATCATAACTTACGAATTCTTCTTTTCCACTCTCGTGTAAATTTTGTCAGAATATCAGGTACATGTCTGAAATCCTGATCCAAATTCGTGCACCTGCAGAGTGTCAGAATATGTTTTCGGCTTTCGGAGGTACGCGAATTTTGATCAGCTTTTCAGACACGTTTCTGACATTCTGTCCTGATTTACACGAGTGGCAGCTTCTCGAATTTGTGTTTGGTAGTACTTGGAACACAGTCCATGCCCTTTAACCCTCATCGAATATTGTCTTACGTAACGAAAGCAGTGTTAGTAAAACGTTAACTTAGCATAACATTGCTCTCTTCTTTCGGGTGGCCCCCGACGAGGGCAACTAACATCAGTAATTCTCTTTACCTATCAAAAGAAGCCGATTTGTAATCCACTAACGGTTCCGCCCCTTTTTGCGTCTCCTAGGGAGAGAGAGATTGGGGGGGAGGGAGAGAGAGAGACGGACAGACAGACAGACAGACTGCACACACGTTCTCCGCGACAGCTAGAGAAGAGAAAGTGGGAAAACGTCGGCAGCGCCGACGCCGCAGAGGCCGAAGTGACGTCTGTCCAAAATAACCTCGTACGACAAAGTCACGTCTGGAATTTATCATGAGCGACGCGACAAATCAAGAGGGGAGGGCGATGGCTGGATGGCCGATGGATGGCCGCTGGATGGCCGCTGGATGGCCGGCTGGCCGGATTGGAGGCGAGGCGACACGCCGCGACACGCCGCGCCAAAACGGGGGCCGGACTTATCCGGACCCAATGCCTTCCTGAGTCGCCCTCCCCGTGACCTGTGCGCGTGATGGCGGCAGAGAGAGAGAGAGAGAGAGAGATAAAGAGAGAGAGAGAGAGAGAGAGAGAGAGAGAGAGAGAGAGAGAGAGAGAGAGAGAGAGAGAGAGAGAGAGAGAGAGAGAGAGAGAGAGAACCGAGGGCTTGATGAACACGTACTGATTCACTCTCCGCACCAACGTCTGCTTGTTTTCATTTGCAGGATGTTTACAGCACTGGAGAGAAATGCGGGGAAACGAGCGCGAATACACTTTTAATTTCTGGGCGGGCCGGACCGGACCGGAGTGGCCCGAAGGGATTCCCGATAGTTACCAGTGTCCGTCCCTAGGTCTTCAGACACTGTGAAACCAAGTGTGGGAAACTCTACTTTGGAAATGCGGAGGTGAGGAATTTGCAGTCCCCGCACTTGGAAGTGTGGAGTTCTACACGTTTGCACCGTGGCCCGCGATAGGGGCTCTGTTGGGATGGAGACGTTTCTGGGCGGGGCGCGGCGCCAGACTCTGTGAGAGAGGGAGGGGGGGATTGGAAGATTTATTTCTCGATACACATCATGGGTCCTCCAATGGCCATCGGCCCAAAAACAACCATGTCAAATATCCTTTGGCAATCGTTTGCAAATACTAGCCAACAGGAGACTGGAACAGCAGCATGCTATATTCAGTTAAGGATTTTCTGTTTTCACTCCCGGGGTGAGTGTGGATTCTAGAGGCGTAGATCCACGCCTCTTCGGGTGTGAAAACGCGCGCTCACGCCGGAGGTAGCGGGGTCGACGGAGGACACGAGAACGTTCTCTCGCGAACTGAGTCTACAGTAGCCGATGCCAAGAAAATGGACAAAACCGTTTCTGGAATCCGAAAGTTTTTTTCTTTAACTCAAACGGGGTTGGAGGCTGGGACCTTAACTTAACTCGATTTTTCGACCCTTTGAAGGAATCTTGTGATAAATAACCTCACGGAGTACTGCTTATGTGCTAAAGAACGAATCCTTAGCACTGATTTGGGAGAAAATGCTCAGGATATTTAAATATCTCCAGTTATAAGCTCCTGCTGGCGTCGTCTGCTGGTCTCAGTTCGTGAATTTGCCATACTTTCGTTCCGCCATATTTCGCGTATTGCACGGGCCCTATTGTGACAGGACGACGGTGACATGAATGTCTTCTACAGGTTTTATCCGGACTGCACACAGTCAGGCGCAGTGGTAGGGGATACTATTTTACACTAGTCGCACCGTTTCTTTCATTATGCAGACTCGGGAAACTGTTGAACGGGAAAAACCCGCTCTACTCCGATCATTGACATAACCTGTTGCTTGACGCTTGTTTACATTTTGGTTTCAGTGACAAGACTGCATGTCGTTCGTGAGCTGTATTTCGTCTGCTTCCCCACTTTTAAAATGTCCAGCCCAGTCAGTGAAGAGAGGGGAGATGCATCTCCCAGGCCATCAATAGCGGTCAATTTGGATCATGGTGTAGCAGACCATCAATTGGATCCGGAAGATGGGTCAGTACTATTTAGTTTGATAGCTGCACTCCTATCTGTTCCATGTGTTTTCTGAATCAGTAGTCAAAATTACACTTTGGGAAAGTATCATTAGTGACCTTTTAATCTTGACATGAAGAGAAGCCAAACTACTGAGTCACCGTGATGTTTTGAATTTCAACTGGGTGACATGTGTTTCTCTCTACATCGTACATCTTTATTCTCTCAACAGTTTTTTGGATATTGATTTGGGCAATGGTCCTCTACCTCAGCAGCTGCCAAGGATACATGCCCGTTCAAGAGCTCCATACATTCCCCAAGAAGGACTGGTACGCTATCAAGCAGCCCTCAGAAGCTTGATTCCTGTCAGAAGAAACACTGCGTGCGTGTTAACACTGTGGAATATCTCTTTCTACTTCATTTGAAACAGACTACGTTTTAATTTAATGGTACTGGTTGTTTCATTCATTCAAAGCAAGAAGACTGAAATCGGGGTGGACCAGGCTGGTTTGTTTTCCTTCATACTGAGCACCTGGCTGTCACGTCTAATGTATAAGGCCTATCGGAAGGGTCTTGTACTTGAGGACATTCCCCGAGGCTCTCCTCTTGAATCATGTGACCACAATGTGCAGAGGTAAATTCACTTCTTAGCCTTGTTCCAAGGCTAAATCTATAATTCTATTAAATTTGTCTTTGTTTCAGGTTGGAAATGCTTTGGCAAGAAGAATTACGGAATAAAGGACCTAGCAGCGCATCTTTCTCCTGTGCAGTTTGGCGATTTATTAGAACCCGCTTTATTGCTGACTGCCTGGTCTTTGCAGCAGTGTGCATTTTAGGTTTTCTTACTCCCGTTCGTATTTTTAAAAACATCTTGTCTTATTTTAGTATTATTTACTGACATCAGCCTTATCAACATTATTTTTTGATTTCACTATTTATTTATTTTTTAGATGGTCTTTATGCGGAAGCTCTTGGAATTTGCCCAAGACCCTGATGCCGATATTCTAACTGGTTTAATGTGGGCTTTTCTCCTGATGTCATGTGAAGTATTCAGAATTCTGAGTTTCTCATGGAGGTGGTCTATAGCATATAGGTAAGTTGTAACTTCTTTCCCTTCCTTCAACTGTGTGTAAAATTTTCATTCTGTATTACAATTAATCTTTTTTCTCAGAACGGGTACCAGATTACGTGCAGCCTGTCTTGGGATGATGTATAGGAAAATTGTTCGATTGAATAATTTTGAAGAAAAGTCAATGGGTCAGGTAGGCTGTCACTGCCAACTCCAAGTATGGCTTTCAGTTGATATGGCCTTAGGCCATGATTTCACATTCTTTGCCTTTCAGTATTTCTAGTATTTCATTTTCTTGCAGCTGATAAATGTATTTGCAAACGATTGCCAAAGGATATTTGACATGGTTGTTTTTGGGCCGATGGCCATTGGAGGACCCATGATGCTGGTTAGTGGCATTACTTATGTACTTTGTGTCCTGGGACCTTGGGCCCTACTTGGTGTATTGGTATTTGTGGCATTTTATCCTGTTCAGGTAAGCTGTCTCTGAATTATTGTAGAGTGGTTCAGGTCTGCCTGAAATAGTTTTCATTTTAGTTCTTGTACCATTTTTTTTTCAGTACTTAACTTCTCGCATGGCAGGCTTGTTAAAAGCAATTGCTATTCGTGCCTCTGACAAAAGAATCAGTATTATGACTGAGATCCTCACTCATATGAAAACTATTAAAATGAATGCCTGGGAGGACTGGTTTGAAGACCAAATTCGTGGTCTGTATCATGGAATATTTTAATCCCTTCTGTTCTTTGAGTACTGTATTATTTGTGACCTTGATTTATTGTATGATTTAGGTGTGAGAGCCCAAGAACAAACATACACAAAAAGGATTTCATATCTGTTAAGTCTAGGAACGTCATTGGCTCCAACAGTTCCTATAATTTCTGCTATTGTAGCTTTTGTTGCCTATGTGGCGTCGGGTAACTCATTGACTGCTGCACAGGTAAATCATAAATTTTAATAAGCCGGTGTTTCTCAGTTTTACAAACTATTTATTAAAACAAAACTTAGTTGTTTTTCATTGTTTTGTTCTTTGCACATTTAAGATGTTTAAAGATTTGATGCAAATTTTAAAAATTGGGTGCAAGTTCAGTTGTCAATGCTTACTGTTGAACATATACAGGCCTTGCCTGTGAACATTTTCCTGTCCAAGAATGCTTAACTTGCCCTAACCAATTTTAGAGAACCTTTGTGCACCTAATTTAAAGAGTGCATTCAGAGAATTAAGGTAGACTAAATTGTAGAGTTTTGAAAAGCCCCCTATTAATCTTTTGTTAAAAAAATGTGTACACAAAAATTTGAGCATAACTCCTGAGTACTTAAGTCGAATGAAACAATGAAATAATCAAATTCCTCATTACAGGCCTTTTCTGTACAAGCTGTATTTTATCATTCAATACGAAGTTCATTGCGGCATACTCAGTTTGCCATTACAGCCTATTTTGAAGCCAGGATTGGATTGAACAGACTGCAGGTTTTTGTCATTTATTCTTTAAATTTTTTATTGTACTCAACTTGTTTATTAAAATCATTATCAGCTCATATTTGAACTCAATAGACACTAAGTATTGGAAATGGGTTTTTGAATGGCAAGGGATTGCATGAGGTTAAAATTATCTTAAATAATGTGTACATACGGTAGTGTCCCAACATAACTTGCACTCTCCAAGAGCTGTGATGCCTAATGCAATGCAACATGTTGCTTGGTGCACTCACAATCTTAATTTACTTCAAATGCTGTAAGGGATTTTCTCTCTTCTTTTCAGGGTACTTTTTGAAAACTGAATATAATTTTGTCATCTTATTAAGCACTACTACATAATTCTGTAAGAGAAATTAATCTGTGAACTATGTTATGTGTTCTTGAATTTTGCATGACTGTCTTCTATTATTACTTTCTACCATAGAGGATGCAGTTAAAAGCAATTAAAAGCTTTATTAGTGCTTGCATTTCTAACTTAAGCATTTTGCTTGGATCTAGTCAGTTTATTTAAGGCTGTGCATTTCTTCCACAGTAATGTGCCTTAAATGAGTTTGTGTTGGGTAAAACACACTTGCATTATCGAAAGAATCAGAACAACCATCATTAAATCCTAGCTCTTTATGTTTTCAGGCGTTTCCCTTTGTAACCTTCTTGGTTTCACCAGCGAGACACCTCTTAAGTTTTACTCTGCTTGGGTTTAAAAAGTCAATTGAGGCTGGTGTAGGTTTCAAAAGAATCAAGGTGAATTCTGACTTGTAGTTTGAATTGTTATGGTCGGAACAGCCAGCCATGTTTGGATGTTGCTTTTGTTTACTGCTCTTAATGGTAGGGTATCTTTACAAAGAAAGAAAGTGAGGTGGGATAGGGTATTGAGTTAATTCTTTATACCTATAATTCCGTCCCGAAAATTGTGACTGACAAGGATAATTATTTCTTCCATTATCCTTGTAATAACACAAACTCCCAATCATTTCCTTGGGCTCATCTCATAAGGCATGTTTATGTTGCTTTAAAAAGCTATCAGTATCTTATTATTTTCTGTAACCTTTATACAGTATAGATTGCACTGTCAGCAGTCTTCTTTTTCCTAACTCAGTCGTGGTCTTTGCCGCTCGCAAGAGTGTTGGCTCTGCTAGTGCATGCTGGTGCAGCATGGTTTTTTACCCTCTTGAAGGAGCATTTTTGTTTCTTCATGCTTTTGGTTGTTTAGAAGGATGCTTGCTTAACATTATTATTATCAATTTATTATTATCACTGTATCAAATATAAATGGTCAATCTTTGCATTCATTCGATTGTAGGAGTGTCTTCTTGTGGAGGAAGTCCAACCTAGGATCCATCGACCTATTGATAGGGCTCAATCAGTATCTATTGGGGGAGCCACCTTCACTTGGAGCGACACCTGGAGCCCTTCAACTCACCAAAAACCAAGGAAAAAACAGAAAAAAATACCTGAAAACAAATGCCAAAAATCTGAGTAAGAGCTTTTGACTGTCATGCTCTAAAGAAACTCGTGCATTTTGTAGATGTACCTTCCTAGTTTCTTCTTGTTTTCTTTGCAGTCTTGAGGGAGATTGTGAGGAGAAAGAAAAGTTAAATGAAGATGCAAATCAGTTGCATGGGTTCAAACCTGTGCTATATGAGATAAACTTTTGTGCTCCCAAGGTATGGAAATCTCCTGAAGTACATTTCTGCACTTGCTCCAGCATTCCTGTAATGTTTTATTTCTTTTAGGGCTACTTAGTGGGTGTATGTGGCACAGTGGGTTCAGGGAAGACTTCTCTATTACTGTCGATCATGGGTCAAATGCGACTTCTGAATGGTCAGCTGGCTCGAGATGGGTCTTGTGCCTTTGTTAGTCAACAAGCATGGATAACAAATGGAACACTTCGAGATAACATTTTGTTTGGAGAGACATTTGCTAGCACACGGTAAGCTATTTTCACTTGGCTACCATTATTCGTGCTCCTCCCTCCTCCCTTGTTATTATCTCCAATTTTTATTAAAAAAAGAGTCCAATAATGTTCATTTTATTTTCAGGTACTACACTGTCATTAATAGCTGTGCACTGAATGAAGACATAAATCAGCTCCCAGGAGGTGATTTAACGGAAATAGGAGAAAGAGGCGTTAATTTGTCTGGAGGTCAGAAACAACGTGTAGCATTAGCCAGAGCACTCTATGCCAACAGGTTTTTAATTTTTAATTTTTTAAACAATCGTTTCTTTTCTTTTTGGAATTCTTGCCCTTTTATGGTTTTGTGATGTTTCAGAGATATTTACTTACTGGATGATCCACTTAGTGCAGTTGACGTTAATGTTGGTTCCCATATCTTTGAAAGTTACGTCCAGAGAGAACTCCGAAATAAGACTGTTGTCTTGGTCACCCATCAAATTCAATACCTCAGCCATTGTGATCAAATATACCTCATGAAAGAGGGCCGCATTCTAGAGAAAGGAACACATGAGGAATTGCTGAAGATGGGTAGGGAGTATGCCACAATGGTCAATCAAACTCAGTGCTCATCTCCTGAGGAAACACCACATTCAACAAATAACAGTCAAATTAATAGATATGTGAAGAAAAAAGAAGCATCAGAACAATTGAAAAACAATGACTATAAAAGCACCCTTGTGAAGCCAGTTGAAGATACTTTAATTGTCAACGAGCCATCCAATACCAGCAGTTTGAAAACTGACACTTTCTGCAGATATATATCTGCTGTGGGAGGGTATGTCATGACAACGTTGGTGTTTCTAACCATACTGATAAATGCTGGCAGCACAGCATTTAGTTCATGGTGGCTGGCAACATGGATTAAGGCTGGTGGAGGTGTAAGTACTCTTTTTTTCCATTCACAGTTTTAAGGCTTGCAAGTAACTAGTTCTGTTATCTCTCTCTCTCTCTCTTTTTTTTTGTGAGGAACAGAACATTACTATTGAGGTGAATAACAGAACAATTACCAGTACAAACTTGGGTGACAACCCTGACTATGAATTTTACCTCAGTATTTATGCATCGTGTATTGGGCTAATTCTTCTGACATGTGCTTTAAGATGTTTTGTTTTCACAAAGGTATTTATATTTATTATTATTATTATTATTATTATTATTATTATTATTATTATTATTATTATTATTATTATTATTATTATTATTGCCTTAATCTGGTAGCCTCTCCTGTGGCTCTTGTTTCTCAACTTTTCTTTTCTGTTTAAAGGCAACCATAAGAGCATCTTTTGTACTTCACAATGATCTGTTTCAAAAAGTATTGCGCAGCCCAATGCTCTTCTTTGAGACAAATCCCATTGGAAGAATGCAGAATGTTTTCTCTAAAGATTTGGATGAAGGTTTGTTATCTAGTAAAATGCTTGCCCCATTTCTTTGCAGCAGTTTTTGTGCTCATTAATTCATACGTATTTCACACATCTTTTTCATTGCAGTTGACTCTAGATTACCGTCAACACTGGAAAATATTATAAGTAGTTTTTATGCCTTGGCCTTTGCATTCTTGTTCATTTGTATTGTCTTCCCATGGTTCTTCATTGCTTTCATTCCTCTTGGCATCATTTATTATTTTGGAAGCAGGATATTCAGGTAATGTTCTTATTTTGTTTTTGTGTGTCTCTGTCTCTTTATTTTCTTTTTTATGGAACAATATGGTAATTGTTCATCCATTACCATGTCCCCAATTTGACCAAACTTTTATGTCTGATACTATGCTTTAAAAATTTAAAGTATTGAAATTAAAGTTAACTTCATTATATGTCCTTACTTTTCACCTTCAGGAAAGGAATACGAGACCTTAAGCGACTTGAAAACACCAGTCGAGCTCCTGTGTTTAGCAACCTGGTAGAAACTGTCCAGGGCATAAATACTATTCATGCTTTTGGAAAAGAATCAGAATATACTCAAAGGTAAGCATGTGACCATTTAAGAAATGTAATGTTGAATATTCATGTAATGAACTAGCAGTGTATCTGAATCTACTTTTCATTTTTAGATTTTTCCAATTATTGGATGAAAATATTACCTGCAATTACATGTGCAATGTGGGAACGAGATGGCTAGCTGTGCGATTAGATCTGCTTGCAGGTATGTATTACTTGAATCAGACCTAAGTTTGTAGAATTGCTTTACTAAGTTGTTAACTAAATTTTTAAAAATTATTTCCAGTTTTTATTGTGAGTATCACAGCATCCCTTGTTGTTGGGCTCCATGGAATTGTAGTTCCTGCAATGGCAGGTCTTGCACTGTCGTACTCTTGGCAGATCTGCGGAGTCTTGCAGTATGCAACCAGGCTCCTTTCTGAAGGAGAAGTACGTTTTATATCAGTGGAGCGAATTTTAGCCTACACGGACACAACTTTTAATGAAGAGAAAGGATCAAGCTGCAAGATACCACCCTCATGGCCCAATGAGGGTCGCATTCATTTTCAAAATGTTAGCATGAGCTATCACAAAAATTTGCCTAATTGTCTACACAATGTTAATTTCAGTATCAAGCCAGGAGAAAAAATAGGTTGGTGCCAAAACTCAATGAATCAATATGCTAAAGACATCTGTCACATACCATGATGTTTCAACTTTATGCAGGTATTGTGGGTCGCACGGGGTCTGGTAAAAGCTCTCTTACTGCTGCATTATTTCGCCTCATTGAACCAAATAGTGGACACATCAAGCTGGATGGTATGGACATTTCCAATGTTCCCTTGTCCATCTTGAGAGTGAAGATTTCCATCATACCTCAGGAACCTGTTCTCTTTTCTGGAACTATACGGTATTCTTTGAGCCTCCACAATCTTTGCTTAAAATGTTGGCTCATCTACACAAATTACTTCATAACTCTTTGCATATTTCCTATTGTAGATCCAATCTTGACCCTCAAAGTAAATGTACTGATGAAGAGCTGTGGGATGCCTTGGCAGAGACTAAACTATCAGAAAAAATTGGTACTATGCCTCTCAAATTAGAAACTGAGCTCGGCTCTGGATCCATTGGACTGTCTGTGGGAGAAAGCCAGCTTTTATGTCTAGCAAGAGCCCTCTTAAGAAATTCAAAGGTATTAATCTTGGATGAAGCAACTGCTTCAATTGATCCTGAAGTTGAAGCTGCAGTGCAAACTTCTATTGAGGAAGCCTTTAAGAACTGTACCGTTATTATGATTGCACATCGCCTCATAACTGTCACGAATTGTGATCGAATACTAGTCATGAGTGAAGGCAGGGTAAGTAAGGCTTTAGTTGTTTTCCTTTTGAATCATTTTTCTGTCTGATTCATTTCTTAATATTATTTTTCCTGATTCTCTACTCACACAGGTTGTTGAATTTGATGAACCCAACAAATTATTGGCAGACCCAAGTTCATTATTTGCGAAGATGAAAGCATCCTCAGAGGCCTAATGGAGACATGTTTAAATGTTCATTGTTCATTTGACAAATTTCCAACTTATTTTACTTGTAAGTTCTGCATGCAGTCTAAGGTGGCACTAGCTGGTGCCAGATTGAGTCTATAAGAACAATTTTCACTATGTAAGGAATATAAATGATAGAAGCTTTTTTATTTTCACATTAAATCTGTTTTATTTATGTAAAATTTTAATAATTTTAAATAAAGTCTGTTGATGGGAACTGTTATTCTAAGAAGTAAATTTGAGAACCTAGGTAATGGGGATCACTGAAACTCATCCCAAGTTTTCATGCGTTGATACATAGTGAAGCTATTGCTTGTATGTTGTTCTCCTCTTGTTCGACAAGGTGGATCCCTTGGAATATGATATTCTTCTGAAAACGTTGGAGTGAAAAATTGAGAAAGATGAGGCTCTTTATCTTTCACCCTTGCTCTGTATTTACTGGCTGGTCGAGATGAACTAGATTCAATAAGATCAGTATCCGAAACATTTAAAGCTACCAAGTCGTGATACAAATGCTCTTCATACAAAAAGTTAACTTGCTGCAGCACCTGAAAAAGAATGAATCATCATCATATCAGGGATTTTATCTAGTTTGCAGAAACGGTAAATGGACAAAGCAAGACAACGCACTTTTCCTTCATCCACCAACTTGGCACACTGGGTGCTCGATGGTTTGGCTTTGGCCGCCTGTTTCATTTCCTTCACTAGTCGAAGAGCCGAATTGAGACATGGTGCAGACAAGTTGGTTTTGTACAAGCCACAACATGAAGCACCCTTGGGAGATTCCTTCTTTTTGGGCTCTTGAACAGGAACATCTGACTTGTAGATGGTGGGGTAAACTGTCAGTTCTGTGTTCCTAACCAAAGTCTTGCGGGGCTCGCCTTTCGGAAACTTGCTTCTCAATCCTTTCCCTTGTCGCGATTCAGCTCCGAGAGGCCCTGCCTTGGCACTTTGATGGAAAAGCACTCCTGGCTTCGGATTGTTATAAGCCTCAGACATTGCAACGCAACGGTTCGCCCCTTTTTCACCACCAAAATGACATTGTTTACACTCCTTCCATTCGATTCTATTCCATTCAACGCGCCACAAGCTGGGAAGCGCGAGCGTGGGAAGCAGATCCGAGATCCGATGGCAGCGCCCCTGGTGGCCGAGTGGGAGAGACTAGGACAGACTGCAGGCCGCGCACGAAGGGAAGCCTACCCACACGGCGCTTCGCCGCACGAGAGTCGTTTCGCCGCCTCGCCCTGTCTCTGTCGCACGCATGCGGCTGTGCGGAGTGAGAGGGAGAAAGAGCGACAAACCGCTCCCCTGAATCGCTCGGCTGGACGGCCCACTTCTCGGCAGGGAGGCGAGCATTCAATTTTCCTCTATTTGGATAATGTTTTAAGCTACCGAAACCGCAATTAAACAAGGAACATAGCTAAAACATGTTCGAATTCGAAAATTTGAAGAAAGAGTTCGTTGCTGCACGCCCGCAGAGAGCCACCTGTCAAGCCGTCTTTGTGCACTTTGCGAGGCCGGCATCTGCACTGCCAAAACAGGCTGCGCCGACAATAAGAAAATGAACATGGAGGACGATGCAACTGAAGTGAACAGAGGAAAATGTTGCCATGTTCCAGTGAGGGTGAGGGCACACTGTGCTGTCTTCCATTGCACCGCGGCCATAATTCTTTGTACATGTATTAATAATGTCTACAGAAATAAAAGACTATTTTGAAGTTGTTTTAATATTCACAATGTATTTCTTTCTCACAATAAATTATTTAAAAAGTAAATGCTTTAGAGGATTAAACTCATTACATTTGTACAATAGTTGTTTTTTTTTATATTGGGTATGAAATTCATTTACATTAATTCATTTTTCATTTACATTCAGAAACCTCCCCTCCCCTTAGTGAAATAAAGTTTTACAAGAAAGGCAGCCTCAGTTGCCATATGTAACATGCCATAAGACATGTTTCAGCTCAACGCAAGGAAACTATGCAGTTGATGATACAGCGAGCTTCTTCAAATGTTCCATGAATACTTGCAAACTCACATCATCGGTAAGAACTGGAGCGCCACTCTCCTGCAAAAAAAAAATATTGCAATGATGTTAGGTACATTATCAGTTTAAGTGATTCCCCAGGCAACCAATCCCCATGCAAGTCAATAACACCTGAGTTAAAATCCACTCTAAGATTGAAAAGAAAAGTGACGGAAAAACAATAGTTGGCGATCTTGATAGAGTCTTATCTAAATAAAAGAACAGTGCTCCCACAGAAGACACCTACACTGATAATACTGAGGGGACAAAACCAAAACATTGAAAGATTATAAGAAGAATGAGATCTCACAAGTGGCAAGGAAACGGGAAGGCTGCTCAGTGAAAAATATGCAAACCAATTTCTTCAATGTACCAAACGATGCCACCCTCAGCTTTATAAAGACAAGATTTGTGAAGCAGTGCTAGCACAACAAATAAACGTACAAAAGCATCTGACACACACACTTCAGTAATGGGTCACTCCTCAAAGCTAAATGATGCAGATACAACACTCTCACAGAAAGCACTCTGTTGCCCTGGGACATTTAGACCACTTCAACCAAATGGTAAGTTGATAATGACATGCCTACTCAGAGACCTCAAAGCCACATTTAGGGCTCTTCTGCCAAGACATGTCTGATGTCTGTCATATTGGTGACATTTAAGCTGAAGATGGAGGGGGGAAATGGCCCCTATCTCCAGTCCTTCCAAGTTTGTTGGATTTCTGAATTTCATTTCACTTTGCCCCTTACTTGAATGAGCCTTGCCAAAACACGAGTAAAATACTGAGAATGAGACAGATGTCAACAGCAAGCCAGCGTGTTATGTGAAATAGAAATAGCAGAAAAGACAAGACTGGTGATTAAGATGATGAAGATGATACACATGAAGTCGTAAATATACAGACAACAGCAAGGAAAAGTCCTCCAGAGATGCACAGGAATGTTAGAATCGACCAGATAAATGAAAAAGAGTGGTAAATGAGATTCCAGCCACCCCCTTACTGCATTCAATCAAAACAAAGTAACTAATTGATGGAAAATAAAATAAAATACCCCAGAGCTTGCAGGCACCATCTGTTTACCAAAACAAAAAAAAAGGAAAGGAAAAAAGTTGCATTAGTAATGAAAACCAAAGGGCATTCCTTTACAACCAAATCAGAATCTGCTAAAAAAAAAAAAAAAAAAAAAAAAAAAAAAAAAAAAAAAAAGGTAAAAGAAAACATGTAACTTGAATTGGTTCAATCCAGGTCAGACTAACCTCAGAGTTCCAACCCTAACCAAAATATAAACAAACATGCATTGTTTCTAAATATCTATCTAACCCATCAAAATGTACTAAAACATATCAAGTGCAACTAAAAGAACTTCTACAACTGGTAGCTTAGTTAAAATTTAAAATGTAACTTACCCCTCCATATGCATACATATTGTTGTGTGTTTGAGAGGGATTGACTTTGGAAAGCAGGAAACGGGCCTGAAACACAGTTAAATAAATTTATGTTAAGGAGGAGGAGTGAGGAGTAATATAGGATATTACCATAATGAATTGTAGCTGTACCTGAGAGCCTCCTTGTTCAGTATCAATATAGCGAGGCATGGGGAAGCGAGTTTGCAGAATTTCCTGTGCATCGTCAACAGGTGCTTGCAGTAGTTGGCGGAAGTTTTCATACTCAGGTAGATCCTGGTATCCTTGAGAGCGCCACTGTGCGATAGTCTATGAGTAGAATGTTAAACAATCAACATTTTATCAGTAATGAATAATATAATAAAGTAACTGTAAAACTTTTCTTATGAACTAGTTGAGCACACTTACTTCACCATGGAAAATCAAAATTTGGAAGAATGTGTCCATGAGTAGAATTCTGTCAGGTTGAATACTGCTCGTATCCAAAAGGACTGGTTCAGGAGGACCATTGAAACTATAGCTATACAAAATAGGCTGAATCATAATCAATGACTGACACAAGTCTTCTCTCATGAGCATGTGCCTGGAAGGGAAAAAAGAATTAGGAATTAGGCACTGGCAAGTAATGCTTGAAAATATATTTAGAGTGTCCTGTACCTGTAGAAAGATGTTTCATCTGGACTGTTATTGAACACTTGCAAGAACTGGGAGCGACGCAAGTGGTACATAAATTGAGGGTACAAACTGAAGTTTTCCGAGAGGCGGAAACTGTTGGGATCATCTTTGTTGTACTCCCCGAATTTCTGGCACTATATAGAATATGAAAAGAGTACAAAGTTGAACAATCAAAACAGATAAGTCAATATACACAATAATTCATTTAACTTTTAGATTGATTTTTAATATTTGCACTCACCAGCCTGATAAGCATTCGGTCAACCCATCGCAGAACATCTGGACCGTCATCAGTTTCAGCACGATAAACAACCATACGAGACATTTGAACAGCAGCTGCCTCCTGATCAAACCCAGCACTGATGTGATGCAAATTACCAGATGCATCAGCCCAGCTGTAAGCAAGTAGATATTGAGTTTACATTTCAGCCTACTGCTGGACAGCTTTAAAGAAAGAAAATAATATGTAATGAGACCTACTTGCGAGCAATTGTAGTGACTCGAATACGTCTTTGACCACTTGAATGTTGGTATTGAGTGATAAATTGAATACAACCTCGACCACCCTGGGGAATAGGAGCTGCATGCTGAAAGGAAATTATATGAGTAAGAATTAATGCATTCCACTACATTGCATGAGTATCTCAAGATATTTCTGATAACAAATAAAATAACCTGATTAACAACTTCAAAGAAAAAGGCACATGTTGTGCTTGGGCTGAGAGTGCAGAACTTCCACTGACATGTTCCACCCATTCCCACTTCTGTTTCCGAGACACAAGGACCCTTCACATTTAAGGGAACACAAGAACCAATTGCTCCAGACACTAAAAATATTGAGAAGAAAAAAATATATAACAAATCCACATTTACAGTAAAGAAAAATGTAAATCATGGCCTATAAATTGTTTTTCAAAATGAGAAGGTACTTGCCTTTCAACTCCCTTGAAGATTTGATCTCTAAAGTACCATTGAAAGCCATTTTCAATTCCTGTTTCTGATCACGGGCAAAGACCCTCTGGAATGTTTGCTTGAATAGGGATGAATTGAAAGAGTCACCCATAACCATGTGACCTCTACATTAAAAAAAAAAAAAAGAAAAAAGTGGTATTTAGTACAGCACAGCTGGGTATGATAAATCATAAGGGAAATCAGAAGAAACATACCCAGTTGAATTGCAGCACTGCTTCATTTCAAGTAGGCCAGTCTGATCTAATGCGCAAGAGTAAATATCAATAGCATGGCCATTGTTAGCTGCACGCACAGCTAGAGCTTCATAATGCTTAATAGCCTTCTTCATATATTTTGCAGCATCTTTATGAATATCGTGGTGGGAACGAATAGGTTCGCGCAGATCATCATTGACAACTTGACCTGGTCCTTGAGAGCAGGCACCACCAACAAACATCATGATGCGGCCTCCTGTGTTGGGGTACATGCACTGCAGATACAGAGTAAATACATTAATGACAATGAAAAAGGCCTACATTCAAACATTAACCTGACTTGTGAGGATTTTGAAACAATCTCAAAATTTTACACTCAAAAAGCTCAAGCACTGGAAAATCATGCATTTTGAGGAATGCAATAAGACATTGTTCAAATCAAGCCTTTCAATAATGATACATCTTCTTCATTATATGTATGATCCAAAAGCATTAGTTCTCGAATGCCAACACCTATCTGCATGTTATGAGAAACACATGTTTTTAACTCTACAAAAATATTACCCTGGCTGGTACATCTTTGAAATGAGGGCCTAGCCCTAAAGTTGCCTAACAGGAATACCATCTTTTATCAAAAAGTGAATCAAGGACAGTGGACCAGGATTGCAAAAATATAGAATATGACTAACCTCTAGCAAGCCTACAGCAATGGAAAGAGCCACTCCAGTTGACCGCAAAGGACGTTTTCCAGGTGCAACAGGCCACGGATCCCGCTGAAGTTCACCCAGTAAGTCGGTCAGGCTCATGTCGCATTTATGAACTGGCTGAAGGAACCTGCAAATGATTGCAATGGACTTCAGTCATTTTTCCTGACTTTGCTGAAGGAGGAAGCAAGACACTTGACACATACCGGTTGCTTGGCAGAGGCTGCTGGGATCCAGGAGCGCGTTGCTGCTGCTGCTGCTGCTGTTGTTGCGGACCTGAATATTTGCCGATGCCAAGCATGTCTTGAATCTGCTTGGCAGTCAGGTCTTTAGTGCCACGAAAGACATAGCTTTTAGAGCAGCCTTCACAACCAAGTTCATGTACTTGAACCATTTTACCAAAAGTGATGAGACCTATTAAGGCATTGGGTGGCACCAATGATAGTGACATCTGGAGAGAGTCTTTCAAAGCCCCTAATTCTTCATCATCTACACAAGTGTCCACAACTAGGAGGAATATAGGGGGCAATGACTGGGCCCTTGTTATTGTGTACTCAATGGTTGAAAACATTGGAATGAGCTCGGCGGGCTGGTGTTGTTCTGAAATCGCTCCATATTGTGGAGGGAAAGGATTTCTCTGAAAGCAAAAGTTGCAGACCCACAACTTTGCCCGATAATCCACTTGACAGATGGGATTTAAGATGGCTCGGCACGTTGTGCGAGTGCAAAGAACAGGGTCATACTGGATGGGTGGAAGGTCTGGCCTCTCTCTGATGGGCTGATACAGACAGCCAAGGGGGACCACCAGTCTCGTTGCTTCCACGCGACTTGATGGCCACACATTCCAAGTAAAGCGGACTCCATCTCGCTCTTCATTTTGTTGAATAAATTCTTCGTAGGTTGCCATACTGCAAAACAGAAGGGTGAAACAGATATTAGAGATCATGCTAACACGCTGAGAAGTATAATAAGTAAGGTGGAAGAGATGCCTTGTAACTGAGATGAGATATGAGAATAACCATTTGTGAGCATTTTCAAAGTAATTCATACATTGCTCTAAGACCCGTCTGTACATTAAGTTATTTGGAGGGGGAGGTTAAGTACCACGTACTTTAGTGAAAACTGCTCGATAGACAACAACTTATTGAGATTAGAAAAAACACATCCGAAATCAAAGAAGTACATTTTCTTTAAATATATTATAGGTACATCGTAAAAACAGCTGGAAGCCAGTCTAAACAATTCATCACGGACGAGAGGTGGGTTTGAAGCTTGCACCGAAACTTGCCTTTACGATAACAATAAAACGAGGGGAGAAAATCTGCCACGTTCAATCTATCTCAACAGGTTTTGACAGTCTTCTTGTTAAATTAATTGTAAAGAATCAGGTATGAAAGTAAATTAAGAAACAAATAGTTGTCAAAGGGGGAGTTTGACAGACGTCTGCTGGCCTCTTCCAACTCGCATTTCTCACAAAGTAAGAAGTTCACAGTGCTAAATGTATACTCACATAATTTTTCAAGTTAGTACGACTCAGAGAGAAATTCCAAAACAGAGAATGAGAGAGGATAAGTCCTCTGGAACGAAAAATTACTTGTCACAACATAGTCACATCACCACATCCACGTCACCCGTGTAACCGTGATGCGTACACATTCACGTTCAGATTGACTGAAGTGCAGCCAACGTGGTGAAGCAAAATGAGAAAGGCCTACATGCCCAAGGGGCAGGCCAAAAAATTATTAACGGATGTCCCCCCCCCCCCCAAAATGAGAAAGCAGCACCTGGGAGAGTTAGTTGGACCCGAAGAGACTCCAAGTAACTCCAAGCAGACTGTCACTGTTTCATTTCCGGCGTTTCTGTGGTTATTTTGAACCATTGAACCATGGAGTCACCGTCACCGGTGAAGGTTTGGGATAGAACAGACTGGTATTGTTATTTTGTGCGTCATACTTAAATAAATTTGTGTTGTATGTTCTACTGAGAATGAATTGGTATCTCTCGCTAACTTTCTAATGGATACCGAAAATTATTCTTTGCCTGCCTGACTTTAATTTTGATTTAAGCAAGATAAAACAGACTTTTGAATAGGATAAAAAGAAACATTTACAAAAGTAGCTAGTTCAAATCCAAGAGAGCGAAATCATCCAAATATTATAGAATGTAGTGGTTTAAGAGGGAAGGACCATTATGAAGGGTAGTATGAAAGTTCAAATTGGTTCTATCATTTGACAGTGAGTTCTTCCTGGTTTTCTAACGAATGCATAGGAGTTTGCATCTCCTTGTGCTTCAGCATGCTATAGTGCAAAAATTAGTATAAGGCCGTGGAATATAGCTCAAATTATGAGTTGAAGAATTACATACATGTCAATACTAATAATGAATTTGTCACAAATTCAATCACAAATAAAAAGACTGAAAGCAGAAACTGCAATCCTCCTGTGCTTTGTTTAATTTATTAACAGCCTTCAGTTCATTCTATAGAAATGATGTCTTATAACTTAAGGACGAATATCCAATTGAAAATAAGATAAGATATAAATATACATATAAATTTACTTGCTAAACACTTATTGTCCGGAATACATTGAAACCATTCTGAGCTGTACTGATAATAGAAGATGTGATTTGAGGATGCCAGTGGAGTTCTTTGATATCTCTCTGTCCTTGATGAATGAATAGAAGTTGAGGTGGAAGTTCCTGTAACGATTCCAATTGAATGTTAGAAAGCTTGACCATTAAGCAACAGCGGACGGAAGAAAAATGATATTAGAAGAGTTGGTGATTATATCAAGAGATGTTATACCTGAATGTCTTCCTCATTGGCTGTATCAGAATCTTTTTCTACAGATAGGTCCCAAAGTGCTATCTGGTTGTCAGCTCCTCCAGATGCAAACACACTGGGCTCAGTGGGGTGCCATTCTACAGTAGTCACCGGCTGGGTATGATGCTTGAATGTTGCAACAGAAGCACCAGCCTTTGGACAACAAATGGAAATTTAATAATTGATTAAAACACTAAAGCAAAACGATGTAAAATGAAATATTAAAACAATGTTTGCACCTTAAATTGACGCAAATCCCAAATGTGGAGGAAGCCATCATCTCCACCTGAGATAATGAATGGTTCTTTCTTATTCCAGCTGATAACATTAACATCTGACAAATGAGCTCCAGCTACGGTAAGCTGATTTGCTTTGTTGGGGGCTGCTCTCGTATCCCAAATGCGAATGCTGCAAAGGCAAAATTGTACCAGTCAAACAAGGAAATTGGCTAATGCTGAGATAGAGCACAGGCAGCTCTCGGATAGAATACCTCTTGTCAACCGAGCATGAAGCCAGAACATGGGGTTCGTTAGGAGACCACTGCAAATCCTCAACCGAATCTGTGTGTCCCATAAGTGGACGCTGGTCCACCTTCCAAGAAGAGAGGTTGTCATCAGGAGTCCAAACATGAATATGTTTTGTACAGTCACCAGTAGCCAGAACACCTGAATCAGGGGTATGTGTTTGGAACAAAATATTTACCACTTGACATTAAAAAAAGTCTTCAACCACAAGGCAATGAAGGCATCACATACCTGGCATAGTCGGACTCCAATCAATGCCATAACCTTCAGTTTGATGGCCAGTGAAGATAAACTCGGGGGAAACTGAGTTTGCCATCTTACCATATCCTTCTCTCTTGACTTTTTTCGGCAACTGTTTGTTCAGCTCAACATCACGAATTGGTTTGTTGAGGTTCCAAATTGAGACACGTGCTAGTTCAGACCAAGATGCAGCAAGAACAGTCCCATTAATTTCCATACTCTGGAAGAAAAGGTTCCATTCACGAGTCAGATGCACCACTATTATCAGCAAGAAAGAGTAAACAGAGAGGTGAGCATTACCAACACGTCATACTAACCCTGACTCTGTTCACACAACCCAAATGTTTCAATATTGAGAAATGCATAATAGGCTTCTTGCTTTCACTGACTTCATCGTTGTCTTCATCTTCAGATTCATCGTCCTCGTCACTAGAGTCATCATCTTTAATTTGGGTTTTCACCAAATTGGACATCTGAAAAGGCAAAAAATTATTAGAACTCAATGATCAAAGATTGACAGGAATTAAAAAGGTAAGGAAAAAGATAGTCCACAAATAGAGTAGCATTATCTCAGCGTAGCACAAACCTTTATCACTAAAAGGCAGTTGTCGCCTTTCTTCGGGGACTGTGTGCCACCAACAATGTATGCAGTGTGAGGGAACGCCTCTCTGTTGTCACCTAAATTGTCCTTGATGATGTCAAAACTAAGACATGGTGATCCTGGAAATGTTTCATACAAATCAAGGAATCAGCTCCAGTTAACACTAACCAAGAGCAGCAGTCACTGCAGGCACCAGGTAAGCACAACAGAGGCTAGCTGTGTGAAAAGATGAAGAAAAATGTCGTAAAACTAAAGAAAAAGTCCTTACCCGCTTTGCACTCATGCCTCATGAGGTAAACCGAGTCATCGCATTCCAAAACTTCTCCCTCGTTCAGCGGCTTTCCAGGCAGGTACACTTTTCTCGCAGTCTTCTCCGCTGGCGTACCGTCCTCCACCATCTCCTCGTCATTTTCCACTTCCATTTGCTCGTCTTCCATTTTCATGCAATGTACTAGCCTGTTAGAGGCAAAGATCAAGTACAAAAATATAAAAACACGGAGTGGACACACAAAACACGTGTGCGACTAGACAACACACTCAAATCCCAACCGCAATGTTACATGTCCGCAGCCGTGCCGTGAATTCGAACCTGTATCTGAATAGAGTAGCTAACGAGGGGGCAGAAGAGAAATTTCTGCGTAGCTTTTTAGCTGCTTGGCGCGAGATGTTTGACCTCTGTGTTTGATGGTCGCGGTCCAAGAGAGCTCCTTCAAGTCAGACTGAAAGAGTTTGTTTGGATCATTTTTACAACGAAGTATCTCCTGACATTCTGTAGAACTCAAATCATCAGTATCAGAGTACCGAACGTTTGACCCCACCAATGGATTCCTCGTTCGGAGAGCAATCAACTAGAGTCCTCCAGGGAAGAGAACTGCGAACTGCGTCCATTAGATTTGTACGCGTAATTTCTCATAGTCGCCATTTTCCACGGAAATCAGCGGCATGATTCAAAGATGGAACACAGTGTGGGTTTTACGAAGGGAGTGAGAACAATTTGAATGCATATTGTAGGTTATTGTGCATCATGAGTGATTTCCTGAAGCATGGGTTACAAGAATTGTGCGTAAAGTAGGGTCTGTTGTAAACGTCAACAACACGCAACTGCCGCCATTTTCCACGGACGCACCGCCATTTTTCACGGAAGATGAGAATATACGCATAGCAAACCGCCAAGTATGAGAAGCGTGCGCGTAGCATTTCAGGGCTTCGCAGTTCTCTTCCCTGGAGGACTCTACAATCAACCTAGGCTTGGGAAGCCTGTCCGGGCGAAATAAAATTCAACTTAACCTAACCTAACCTAACCCAACCGCAACTAAGCAAAATTTTTTTTCCGTCCGATGGAGCCAGAATGGCCTCAGTAGGGCTAGGTTAGGCTAGGTTAGTGCAACCTAGGCTTGGGAAGCCTGTCCGGGCGAAATAAAATTCGGCTTAACCTCACCCAACCGAACCTAAGCAAAATTTTTTCCGTCCGATGGGGCCAGAAAGGCCTCAGTAGGACTAGGTTAGGCTAGGTTAGTGCAACCTAGGGTTGGGAGGCCTGTCCGGGCGAAATAAAATTCGGCTTAACCTAACCTAACCTAACCCAACGTAACAACCGAACCTTAGCAAAAATTTTTCCGTCCGATGGGGCCAGAATGGCCTCAGTAGGGCTAGGTTAGGCTAGGTTAGTGCAACCGAGGCTTGGGAAGCCTGTCCGGGCGAAATAAAATTCGGCTTAACCTAACCTAATCTTACCTAACCCAACCGAACCTAAGCAAAATTTTTTCCGTCTGATGGGTTCGGTTGTGTTAGGTTGTGTTAGGTTAGGTTAGGTTAAGCCGAATTTTATTTCGCCCGGACAGGCTTCCCAAGCCTAGATTGCACTAACCTAGCCTAACCTAGCCCTACTGAGGCCATTCTGGCCCCATCGGACGGAAAAATTTTTGCTTAGGTTCGGTTGTGTTAGGTTGGGTTAGGTTAGGTTAGGTAAGGTTGGGTTAGGTTAGGTTAGGTTAGGTTAGGTTGGTTTAGGTTAGGTTAAGATAGAATAGGATATGTTGGACCATAGTTTTAAAGGGGAATGTGGCCTTTCGACGCGATCGAATATTTTCATTGAATATTTTTGTTTAATATTTTTATTGAATTATTTAGACATCCGAGAAGTATAAAACTAAATGTATTTTGATTATAAACTAGAAATTATCTTAAGTATGCAGATTATAATGGTATTACTTCAGCAACAGCACTTATTAGACACAGTAATTAATTTAAATGTTACTAAATGTTTGCTGAAGATATGCAAGAAATTTTTAATATTCTAGTGCTTTGGGAAAAAGTTATACTTAGTGTATCTTTGCATTCCAGACCATTCAAATATTTTTTCACTGTCCTAAAAATTTTATTTTTCTCGAAAGAAATGAAATGTTTACAATATTTAAATCTACTGATGCTTTTAGACAAGTTCATTGTGTTATCCTGAAAACTTGTGAGCAATGTATCATTCAGTCACCTAGTCATCGTTTATGACAGTTTCCCTTCCCCCCTCAGGCCGTCTCTGGATCCGCCACTGCAGCATAGAGGCATTCAAATACACACTAAATTCTTATGGACTTTTTTAATGCATAATGAAGCATTTTTTATGCATAGTTATGCATGCTTAGAAACGTCCATAAGGTATGTATATAATTACGCATCACTGTGTACATTTTATGCATCTTCCTGCATAAAATGTACACAGTGATGCATAATTTTATACATACCTTATGGACGTTCCTAAGTATGCATAACTATGCATAAAAAAGTCCATAAGAATTTAGTGTGTAGGGTACGTACTCCAATGAATCTTGAAACGGAAGACGAGGAACAAAAGTGAGCCCTAGAAACAGTATCCTGCGCATGCGCAGACGTTCCCCCACCACCCGGTGCGCACGCGCAGAAGCTGTTTTTAGGGCCTACTTTTGTTCTTCGTCTTCCGCTTCAAGATTCATTGGAGTACCCTATTGCTGAACTGCAGGCGCGGATCCAGGGGGGGGGGGGGCTCTGAAGCGACGAAGCCGCCTGAAAGGTAGGCAGTTAGTCGCACTTAGCCCCTGTTGGTAGGCAACTTATGCGACATCGCCCCCCCCCCTCAACCCGTCTCGGGATCCGCCCTTGCTGAACTGTCTATGCAAAGTGCAAAGGCTAACTACGTACTTCGGGGCTACGGAATCCGCCACAAGCCACCTCTGCATCCACCTGGATCCTCCCCAAAGAATCACAAATCCCGGAACCCATCCAACCCGCAGTCCCGCCGGCAGCCCCCGCTACCACCGACGTCCCGGCCCAGAGGCGCCCAGAGGCCCGGCGGAATTTCCTGGAATCTCTCCCCCCGCGGATCAGGCGCGCTGGGCCTCGCCCTGTGCAGTACGGACGACTGATTCCGAGAGTGGTTTTCGTCGCTCTGTCTCTCTCGCACCCAGACGGGAAGCCCTTGAGTGCGAGAGAGACAGAGCGACGAAAACGACTCTCCTAATCAGTCTGCAGCTGGGTCCAAAAGGAAAAAAAAGTTCGCCAAGGAAACGAGATTGATGTCGTTGGGGTCGTTTATTGTACATGTCGTATGGTTTTTGGTGATTAGAGCACTATCCCCTCCGAGGATCACATGTTGGTCGTGCAGGTCGAGCTCCTCCTGGACGTGTCCTCGTGCACGTCCTCGGAGTCGTCGGGGGCCTCGGGGGCCTGCTGCGCCACCTCGTCCGCAGGGCCCCTCTCCTTGGTCAGGGCGGCGGAGTCCGAGTTCTGGAACCCTGCGGAGCCGAGCGAGCGAGAGGGTTGAAAGTCAGTTGGTCCCGGGTTCAAATGCCAGCCCCGCCTCCCCGGCAAGAAAACAGTGGCGTGCGCACCAAATTGGTGCAATGCTTTTGCATTGCACGAGAAGTGCAATGCCTTCCCATGCATTAGCATAGGACATTTTCGGGACGCATAGCACGTAAGGTGCAAGGCCATGGTGCACGTTTGGTGCAATATCTCAATGCACTGCACCATACGTGCTATACTCACAGCGTTTGGAATCTCAATGCAGAGCTCGAGACAAGCAAATTGCAACGCATTTCGCTAGAAACCCAACAACAGTGGCCAGAAGACTGGCACCGGCGGCCGAAACTCTAGACGCGTTTTGAGGTCTAGAGTCGCTAAACAAGACTCGAACGGACCGTGTGACCCCACCAATGGATTCCTCGTTCGGAGAGCAATCCATTGGCGAGGTCACACGTTCGGTTCGAGTCCCATTTAGCGACTCTGGCTGGAGCTCAAAACGCGCCTCCACCGGTCTTCTGGTCCACCTCCTTCATACGTTTCTGGGCACGCCACTGCAAGAAAAAGCGGAAATGGGACTCACAGTAGCCGACGACGATGGCCAGCACGTTCGCCATGGGGGCCTCGACGCAGAAGTGCAGCACCGTGCCCATGATGTAGGAGACGACGACGGTGCCGACGGACTGGCCCACCTGCAGCGGAACAAGGTTGGTCGAGGGAGGTCAAAACAGCAAACAAGGGCCTAAAGTTGGCCAGAAGGCCGGTAGAGGCGGCCAAAAACCTAGACGCGTTTTGAGCTCCAGAAGTGCTAAAAGTGGGACTCGAGCCGAATGAGTGACCCCACCAATGGATTCCTCGTTCGGAGAGCAATCCATTGGTGGGGTCACACGTCCGGTTCGAGTCCCGTTTAGCGACTCTGGAGCTCAAAACGCGTCTCGAGTTTTGGCCGCCTCCACCGGTCTTCTGGCCGAACCGCGGCCCGGCCGCCCTGATCGCTGCGGTGCTGAGACACTGACCAGGCTGTAGTCGCTGACGTACATCGGGTGGCGCGCGATGCCCGACGACACCAGGATGACGGCGACGTGCGCCAAGTACACCGAGTACGTGATGCGGCCCAGCGTCACCACGGGCTTCCACGTCAGGATGCTGTCGAACAGGCCTGCAACGACACGGGGACCAAATCGCGATGCGCTTGGGCCGAAAGGGTTGCCAACCTCAGCACGCCAGACGCGGATCCGGGGGGGGGGGGGGGGGGGGGGAAGAGAGAGAGAGAGAGAGAGAGAGAGAGAGAGATTGCCTCCTTCTGGTTAGGTTGCAAAGCCGCCTGATAGGTAGGCAACTAGTCGCACCTAGTCCCTGTTTGTAGGCAACTTTTGCGCCCCCCCCCTGAACCCGTCTCTGGATCCGCCCTTGCAGCAGGTTGGGCCAGAACACCAAAATTGTGCAGGCGCAAATCCAGGAGAAGAAGAGATGGATGCGTCACCCTACAGTGGGCCAGGAGACCGATGGAGGTGGACAAAACTCGAAACGCGATAAGATCTCCCGAGTCGCAAAACAGGACTCGAAGAGAGCGTGTGACCCCATCAATGGATTCCTCGTTCGGAGAGCAATCTATAGGTTTGGGTCACACGTTTGGTTCGAGTCCCATTTAGCGACTCTGGAGCTCAAAACGCGTTGATTTTGCCAGCCGCCACCGGTCCTCTGGCCCACTGTGCTCAGCCTGCCGACTAGGCAACTTCTCGAACTCACCGCCGTGGCCCACGCCGCAGGTGAAGATGATCCAGGCGGCGGGCAGCGAGAACCCCAGCAGCCGCGCGGGGCCGTAGGCCGTGTCCAGCAGCGGCCGCGCCTCGAACGAGGGCAGGTAGAAGACGACCATCGAGAAGAAGGAGGCGAGCAGGATGACGAGGGTCAGGGGGATCCCCAGCCACATCAAGGTCCCCGTCGTCTGCGAAGTTGGCAGTGTGGTGAGTCTCGCTGTTCCCTTCTCAGGCAAGGATCCGAGGACGAGCAGCCCCCCCCCCCCCCCCCCCCCCCCCCCCCCGGGTGAAGCCGCCTGAAAGGCAGGCAAGAAGCCGCACTTTTGCCGCCCCCTCGCTCCACAGTGGGCCAGAAGACCGGTGGAGGCGGACAAAATCCCGGACACGTTTCGAGCTCCAGAGTTGCTAAATGGGACTCGAATCGAACGTGTGACCCCATCAATGGATTGCTCTCCGAACGAGGAATCCATTGGTGGGTCACACGATCGGTTCCAGTCCCATTTAGCGACTCTGGAGCTCAAAACGCGTCCGGGGTTTTGACCGCCTCCACCGGTCTTCTGGCCCACTGTGCAGCGTCGGAAACGACGCAGTGCGCCTCCTCAAGAGACGCAGACACTCACCCGCAGAGCTTGGTGTACTCGCAGGACAGCTGGTGCGCGCGGCGCTGCAGGTGCCCCAGGCCCTGCGGCGAGGCGAGCTGGACGCCGCTGAGCTGGCGCAGGGCCTTGGGGTCGGCGCCGAGGAGCGCCTTGCTCTGGAGCGTGACGGAGCACTCGGGCTCGCAGGACAGCCGCAGCCCGCCCAGCCACGCCGACAAGGCCCCCGTCACGTCCGTCACCGGCACCGCCGCCACACTGGTCGGAACGTCGTCCCTGCCGAACAGAAATCGCAACAAGGTTAGAGTGGGCCAGAGGACCGGTGGAGGCGGACAAAACTCTAGACGCGTTTTGAGCTCCAGAGTCGCTAAACAGGACTCGAACCGAACGTGTGACCCCACCAATGGATTGCTCTCCGAACGATGATCCATTGGTGGGGTCACACGCTCGCTTCGAGTCCTTGCTAAGCGACTCTGGAGCTCAAAACGCGTCTTGAGTTTCGGCCGCTTCCAAGAGCAAAACCTCCGACTCGATGCACAACATAGAGTCGAAAGGGATGCCATTCAGCGCCAGTCCCGACTTAACAGCAATAAACAACAATAAAAGCGGAGATAAAAGCGGAAACCGAAAGAGCCGCCGCACAGTGGGCGGAATGACCGCTTTCAACAAGAAAAAGTCAAAATGTTGCGATAGGTGTATGAAAATTCGTATCTGGGAGTTTAGGGTCATCTAAACACGTTTCTGAAGTTAAATAAACTGTAGGACAGCAATTTGACATAGTTTACTTAATGGCCTAAGTATAACTTTTGAGTAATTTACATGAAAATTTCATTTTTTTTCCCTCAAAATTAATGTAGAACAAACAAAAACTTTTATTCTTCTGCGGAGGGCAACTTTACTTCCCTCCGCAGAAGAATAAAATTTTTTGTTTGTACTCTACATTAATTTTGAAAAAGAATGAAGTTTTTTCATGTAAATTACCCAAAAGTTGTACTTAGGTTATTAAGTAAACTATGTCAAATTGCTGTCCAATAGTTTTTTTAACTTCAGAAACGTGTTTAGATGACCCTAAAACCCCCAGATACGAGTTTCCATGCACCTATCGCGACATTTTTCTTGTCGAAAGCGGTCATTCCGCCCACTGTGTGGCGGTATCTGTAGTGAACGAAACGTGATTTTGCCGCTGCGCGCTCACACAAATCGGCCAAGAACTCCCGTTTGCGCAGCTATGCGCAGCCAATTTTTTTTTCCTCTTGAAGTGTACACTAAAACTATCAAATGCGCGCAGAGCGGGCGCCAGGTAACCTCAGCTTTTTTCTACGCCCAATGCGAAAATATTTTTTTATGTTCATTACAAAGTTTGCTAAAACACACGCAGTTTTGCCATTTCTCAACCAAATGCGTTTCCGAAAACAGTTAAGATTCAAAGGCATGCCCTTTCGAACGATATACTTGGATTTACTTGTAACTACTTTGGTGCTGGAGAAAAACGTTTGCAACATGGGTTTTGTTATAGGGGAAAAAGGTGCAAAGCACGACCACAGACTTTGACGTGGTGCACACGCAAAAGGAAGACTCGTATGGGGAATAAAAGGCAGATTTAGATTCAGCAGGCATTTTTCAGTCCGGAAAATGTGTTTGGACACGTAGAAAAATATTTGGAACTCGGACTTTTTCTTGTCGAAAGCGGTCATTCCGCCCACTGTGCGCCGGCTGTCTGGCTATCTCTACCGCGAGCTGGTTAGCTGTCCCGACAACCGGAGGCGCCGAGGACAGCTACCAGAGGCCGGGCAGGTAGGCCCGGCCGACCCGGACCGGGGATAGCCGGTAATCCCTCGCCGGCCGTGGTGGTGGGGATGTCTCTGGGACAGCTACCAGGGGCCAACTCGGGACAGTTAACCAAGCTGACTGTATTGGTCTCTGCATGAGCCGGGGCGGTAAAAAGGAAGACCCCGCCAATCACGGGGAGAAAGCCATAGCGCACCGAAACTAACCAGCCGACGGACCAGCTGACCAGTGGTCTGCGGTTCGATCCCCAGCCGGGCCGGAATAGTTTTGGCGCGAAACGGCGGCGCGAGTTTGATTCAGATTCACCGCGGCGGGGCTGGGCGGGGCGGGGCGCGAGGACGGGCTATTTACGGCCAGTCGGCGGGTGTTCTCGTCCAGCAGACTGATTCCGGGAGTCGTTTTCGTCGCTCTGTCTCTCTCGCACTCACGGGGCGTTCCCTGCAGGTGCGAGAGAGACAGAGCGACGACAAGGACTCTCGGACTGAGTCTCCAGGACGGGTCCAGCACGAGCACGGCACTCACCGCCGTCGCCGTGCCCTGCCCGCGGCCCCGCCCCGGGAGATGCCTCCACGCCGCGACCGCCGCGTTCGACGCCATGCGGTGCTGATTGGCGGTGATGCTCCCATAGACGCGGCGCGCCGCCGGCTGTCTCTCTCGCACTCGCGGGGCGTGCCGTCAAGGTGCGAGAGAGACATCGCGGTGCGCGGCGTCTCGGCGATTACAAATTAGTAGCGGGCTGCTCCGGGCCCCCGCGGCAGCACAAAACGCGTCTATAATTTTGGCTGCCTCCACCGGTCTTCTGGCCCACTGTGCCTCCTGGATCCACCCCTGGGCTTAAGACGAGTACCTTGGAGGGGCGCCACTCGCGCCGGTTGGCCAGGTAGAACAGTGTGCCCGCGATGAGGCCCACCACGTAGGGCACGGCGTTGTTGTGCGTCTGGACGTACTGGTGGACGAAGTGGGGGTCGTCGGCCAGGTTGAGCCGCCGCAGCAGCCTGGAGGCAGTGTGGTGGTCAAGAACGTACTCGGCGCTCACAGCGTGCTTGCATTGTGTCAGTGTTGCCACGTCAGTAGGCTGAAATCCCCACAATGCACTACATAGTGTTGAAAGGGTTGTCAACCTCGAGCTGCCTATAAGGTAAACTCTCGGGAGCGCAAAGCTCAGGTATTGCACTCTTGATGTTGTACAGAGAAGATTCTCCATATTATGGTGAAAATGTTCCATATCATGGTGGTGCAGCTGACTTCGTAACATACCATAGAGAATTCACTGTACCTTATAGATATTTTGACGAATTTTGTTGCAGCCTTTTTTGTGCAGCCTTTTACCGTAAGGCATTTACCGTGTGCCTTGTACGCAGGCTGAGGTTGCCAGCCCTTTTGACACTGTTGCATCGTCGGAGTTGTTGCTTATTAACGTGGCAGCACTGGGGCCAGGCGTCACGCAGTGGGTCCGAAGACCGGTGGAGGCGGCCAAAACTCTAGACGCGTTTGGAGCTCCAGAGTCGCTGAATGGGGCTCGAATCGAACGTGTGACCCCACCAATGGATTCCTCGTTCGGAGAGCAATCCATTGGTGGGGTCACACCTTCGGTTCGAGTCCTAGCGACGCTGGAGCTCGAAACGTGTCCGGGATTTTGTCCGCCCGCCTCCACCGGTCTCACCAATGGATTCCTTGCTCGGAGAGCAATCTATAAGTGGGGTCACACGTGGTACTCACTGGGGGTAGATGTGCAGGGAGGGCAGCAGGCCCTGCTGCAGCGCGGTGGCGTAGTACGTGGCGGCGGCGGCGGCCAGCAGCAGCCCCAGCAGGCAGCAGCCCGGCCACAGCGCGCGCAGCGTCCACCGACTCACCAGCCACATGAGCAGCGGCGTGGCCAGGTACATCTGCAGGATGGCGGCCACGAACCACGTCTGGATCATGCACTGCGCAAACAGAAAGACGAACCACCTCGAGTTAGCAGGGCAAAGTAGCAGGCTACCCGGGGCCATGAGAAAAGGGCGACCTTCTCTCATGACGAGGCGATCGAACCTGCAGCGACCAGCAGCAGAATGATTCCGAGGGGGAACGTCCCTCTCTCTCTCTCTCTCTCTCTCTCTCTCTCTCCCTCTCTCTCTCCTCTCTCTCTCCTCTATCTCTCTCTCTCTCTCTGTCGTACTTTTTGCCTGGGTGCTTACAGGGCGTCAAAGAGAGGATATTTGCGTAATGTTTGGGCGACTGTCTAGTGTCTAGGGGGCCCGGGGGGGAGAGAGAGAGAGAGAGAGAGAGAGAGAGCGAGAGAGAGAGAGAGAGCGAGAGAGGAGAGAGAGAGCGAGAGAGAGAGAGAGAGCGAGGAGAGAGAAGAGAGCGAGAGAGAGAGAGAGAGGAGAGCGGAGAGGAGAGAGAGCGAGAGAGAGAGAGAGAGCGAGCGAGAGAGAGAGAGAGAGCGAGAGAGAGAGAGAGAGAGAGAGAAGAGAGAGAAGAGGGAGAGAGAGAGAGAGCGAGAGAGAGAGAGAGAGAGAGAGAGAGAGAGAGAGAGAGAGAGAGAGAGAGAGAGAGAGAGAGAGAGAGAGAGAGAGAGAGAGAGAGAGAGAGAGAGAGAGAGAGAGAGAGAGATTGACCTTCCCCACTGCTTTAGCGCCTGCAGGCTGCGGGCTAGGCCGTGCCGCCGCACACGTGTCCTCGGCGGGTTGCCTACCGCCATCCCGCAGGCTGACGCGGTGATGCAAGTGTCGCCACATGAACTCGGGGAAACACTTGAAAGGCTTGTCCTGCAAGGAGATTTCTCGAGAGATTAGCTCTCATATTGCAAATGGGCAGGCTGAGGTGTGGTACACCCTTCCGGCACTGTGCATGTTGGATAGAAAATGTCCTCGGAACGAGAAACCTCTCCTAACTTAGGCCAGAAAACATCTCTCATGTCCTAACCAACCGCGTTCCCGCACTGCCCTGCTACAGTTGTCTACTCTCGTACCGGGAACATACATCGACCGCCACGAAAAGAGCGGAAGTATGGCAGATTTTAAGCAGACTGAAGCGCCCGGCAAGGTAGGCAGCCAACCTCACAGTGCAGTGGACGTGTACCATTACCATTACCAAGGGCTAGACCACACATGATCGTATGCCATTTCGGGCCCGACACATGCCCGCCTGCACTGCAAAACGAGACATGGCCGTCCTTACTAGGGTGACACTTTATCCCGGCGGGGAAGAGCCTCAAGCGACTACAAGCCTCCCTCCCGGCTTCGGTCTTTCCCTTCGATGCCAGCGCCACTCTAAGTCACTCTTGCCATCTCTTTGACTCAGCTGACTCACCGTGGACCCTGGGCGACGTAGTTGTTTGACGAAGAGGAGGTGCGTCCACCAGTGCTGCTGGCAGTCCCGCACCCACCTGCCCACCACCTGCCCCCAGAACGGCCCCGAGCCCATGTACTGCAGCCACAGCGTCTCGACGGCCAGCACCACGGCCAGCGCGGGCAACAGCCTGAGGAAGGAACGCTTGTTGGTACCGAGAAGTGTTGCCACAGTGTGCCACAGTCAAAACTCCCATGACGCATGAGTGTTGAAAGGGTTTGCCAACCTCAGCCTGCGGGCTTGGCAACTCCTCGACAACGAAGCCCGGCGAAGCCGAGTATTCCCAGTGAGCGAGCAGCCTGAGATTGGCAACCCTTTCGACACTGGTGCTCAGTGGGATGTTTGCCGCTGGTGCGGTCAAAACTCTAGACGCGTTTTGAGCTCCTGGTCGCTAAACAGTACACGAACTGAACGTGTGACCCCCACCATGGATTCCTCGTTCGAAGAGCAATCCATTGGTGGGGTCACACGTTCGGTTCGAGTCCCATTTAGCGACTCCGGGAGCTCAAAACGCGTCCAGAGTTTTGGCCGCCTGCACCGGTCTTCTGGCCCACTGTGCGATGTGCTCACCTGAAGTAGCGGATGGCGTAGTGCGCGAGCACCACCATGAGGTTGAAGCGGCGCAGCTTGCCGATGTGCATCATGGAGAGGCGCGCCTCCAGGAAGCCGCTGATGACGAAGAAGGTGGCCACCACGCCGGTGCCGTTCACCGCCAGCATCCTCATCAGGCGCGTGTACGCCTGCAACGCGGCCAACGCAGTGTTGCCACCAAGAAGGCCAAAATCCCACTATGCTTCAGTGTCTATAAGGTTGCCAACCAACCTACAAACTGAAGTGTGTACTCAGTATGCATCTACAGATGTATACTTGCAAGTACACATCTACAGATGCATACTTGGCTGAGTACACACCTACAGATGCATACCTGACCTCTCCAAGTATGCATCTGCAGATGTGTACTCAGCTGAGTATACATCTGTAGATGCATTCTGAGTACACACTTCAGTTTGTAGCGTAAGTCTACCTACTAAGTAACTTCCTTAGTAGGCAGGCTGAGGTGAGGTTGGTAACACTGCACTGCAAGAAAAAAGTGTAAATAGTAGAGCAAAAGTACAACAAAAACTGTACAGTAAAAGTACAACAGGGATTGTATAAAGTACAACGAGAATTGTACAAACCACACTGAAAAACCAAACGTGGTCCAGACCGCATCATTGGTGTGGTCAAATGGATGCCATTTTGACCGCATCAGTTGGTGTGGTCTAGACCACGTTTGGCCACGTTTGGTGTGGTCTAGACCACACTTAACGCCCCAAACGTGGTCTAGACCACACCAACTGATGCGGTCAAAATGGCATCCATTTGACCACACCAGTTGGTGCGGTCTAGACCACGTTTGGTTTTTCAGTGCACAACGAGGCGTGGACTGCCCAGCACTCGTCATGCCGGTTCCATTGTACTTTGTACAACAATTGTTGTACTTTGAAACTACGATAAATTCCTGATAAAAAATTTGCCAGGAATTGGTGTACTTCTGTAGAGGCGTTTTCTTGCAGTGTGGTGCAGTGTATCGCATGAATTTTCGTCCTTCGACGTGGCAGCACTGAGCCAAAGAATCTCGTTGCCGAGAGAGATTACAGCTGGATCGAAGTCGCCTGGAGGTAGGCAACCCTACCAGCAGTCGCCTGAGGGTGGGTAACCCTACAGCCGGTGCGATGCGGCAGATACGTAGCGCCACAAACGACACGACTATCTTTCTCCGAAAACGACCGCAGTCGCTGCAGGTCTGGGTCTGTCCCCACCACACAGTGGGCCAGAAGACCAGTGGAGGCGGCCAAAACTTTAGGCGCGTTTTGAGCTCCAGAGTCGCTGAATAGGGTTCGAACCGAACGTGTGACCCCACCAATAGAATCCTCGTTCGGAGAGCAATCCATTGGTGGGGTCACACGTTCGGTTCGAGTCCCGTTCAGCGACTCTGGAGCTCAAAACGCGTCTGGAGTTTTGGCCGCCTGCACCGGCCTTCTGGCCCACTGTGCACCGCCGTAAAACACGAAATAAATCAGTCATCATCGGACATAAGGATGCAGGTCAATTTTAATAGTTTTGAGAAAAACGGATTTTTTTGTCTCTACCACAGACATGTCAATTTTTTTCAAAATATTTTTTGGCAAAATGATTATTTAGAAGCTTCTGAACACTAAGAAAAAAACCAGAACACTGAGAAATCAATATTGAGGGAGAAAGACTGACTTGCGCGGTTAGGAACAGTCAAAAATTCTGACATAACAGCGCAAGTCAATGGATTTTTGTTGACTTGCACCCTTTTGTCAGATAATGATTGACATGCGCTCTTATGAACTATAAACGCCTTGACTTAAGTCCTTCTGTCTGATGATGACTGCATTACGCTCCTCTGTTACGAGTCTTGCATGAGTGTATATCCATGACTTGCACCCTTATGTGAGATGAGGTTGACTTGCGCTGTTAAGTCAGATGAAGCACCAAAAGTAATTTGACTTGCGCTGTTATGTCAGGTGAACCACCAAAAGTGGTTTGACTTGCGCTGTTAAGTCAGATGAAGCACCAAAAGTGATTTGACTTGCTCTGTTATGTCAGGTGAACCACCAAAAGTGGTTTGACTTGCGCTGTTAAGTCAGATGAAGCACCGAAAAGTAATTTGACTTGCGCCGTTATGTCAGATGACACTCCAAAGGTAATTTGACTTGCGCTGTTAAGTCAGATGAAGCACAAAAGTGATTTGACTTGCGCTGTTATGTCAGGTGAACCACCAAAAGTAATCTGACTTGCGCCGTTTTGTCAGATAATACACGAAGTCTGTAATGACTTACGCTGTTAGGTCAGACGAAGCAAAAATAAAAATAATTTGACTTACCCTGTTATGTCAAATGACTCCCCATAAGTGATTTGACTTGCGCTGTTGTGTCAGATGACACTCTAAAGGTAATTGGACTTCCGCTGTGATGTCAGATGAAGCACCAAAGAGTAATTTGACTTGCGCTGTTAAGTCAAATGACTCTCCAAAAGTGATTTGACTTGACACCTGACATAACAGCGGAAGTCAAATTACTATCGGTGGTTCACCTTACATAACAGCGCAAGTCAAAATACTTTTGGAGGGTCATCTGACATAACAGCGCAAGTCAAATTACCTTTGGAGTGTCATCTGTCATAACAGCGCAAGTCAAATTACATTTTAGTGCTTTATCTGACATAACAGCGCAAGTCAAATTACCTTCGGAGTGTCATCTGACATAACAGCGCAAGTCAAATTACCTTCGGAGTGTCATCTGACATAACAGCGCAAGTCAAATTACCTTCGGAGTGTCATCTGACATAACAGCGCAAGTCAAATTACCTTCGGAGTGTCATCTGACATAACAGCGCAAGTCAAATTACTATTTAGAGCTTCGTCTGACATAACAGTGCAAGTCACATCACTTTTGGGTTCTTCATCTGACATAACAGCGCAAATCAAATTACCTTTGGACGGTCATCTAACATAACAGCGCAAGTCAAATTACCTTTGGAGTGTCATCTGACATAACAGCGCAAGTCAGATTACGTTTTGGTGCTTCATCTGACATAACAGTACAAGTCAAATCACTTTTGGTGCTTCATCTGACATAACAGCGCAAGTCATATCACTTTTGGGTTCTTCATCTGACATAACAGCGTAAGTCAAATAACTTTTGGAGGGTTATCTGACATAACGGCGCAAGTCAAATTACATTTAAGTGCTTCATCTGACATAACAGAGCAAGTCATACACTTTTGGTGCTTTATCTGACATAACAGCGCAAGTCATGTCACTTTTAGGTTCTTCATCTGACATAACAGCGTAAGTCATATTACTTTTGGTTGGTTATCTGACATAACAGCGCAAGTCGACTTCATCTCACATAAGGGTGCAAGTCATGGGTACGCTCTGATGAAAGAGAAAGCAGTCATCAGACAGAAAGACTCAAGTCAAGGCTGTTCATAAGAGCGCATGTCAATCATGATCTGACAAAAGGGTGCAAGTCAACTAAAATCCATTGACTAGCGCTGTTATGTACGATAATGATTGACATGTGCTGTTTGGCACATTGGATTTGCGCCTAAACGGTTGACGTTAGAGAAACGGGACCAAGTTCAAAAGATGCGGCAGGTTTCAAGGATTCGGAAAATGTGAAAATCTCATTTTCTCAAATTTTTGACCTGCGTCCTTATGTCCGATGACGACTGGAGTTGTCAGCGCGGGTGTCGGCGCGCTCAGCGAGCACCGCGCGAAGGCCCAGCCTGCAGCGTCCCGCCCGCAGCGCCGCCAAATCACGCAAAACTGGTAAACTCTGCGGGGCGCTTGCTCCGCTCTCTTGCCGCGCTCGCGAGTGAGCGATGAGTCGCGGCGACGCGGGGGATGGCAGCCCGCACAGTGGGCCAGAAGACCGGTGGAGCGGCCAAAACTCTAGGCGCGTTTTGAGCTCCAGCGTCGCTAAATGGGACTCGAACCGAAACGTGTGCCCCCACCAATGGATTCCTCGTGCGGAGACCAATCGATTGGTGGGGTCACACGTTCGGTTCGAGTCCCATTTAGCGACTCTGGAGCTCAAAACGCGTCTAGAGTTTTGGCCGCCTCCACCGGTCTTCTGGCCCACTGTGGCCCGGCGCAGCCCTGGGGGATGGCGCCGCGGAAATTATTGCCCCCCTCCCCCTCCGAAGGTGCCACTGGCGTGCGCCTGCAGACTGATTCCGAGAGTCGTTTTCGTCGCTCTGTCTCCCTCGCGTCTTTACGGGACGCCCCATGGGTGTGAGAGAGACAGAGCGACGAAAACGCCTCTCGGAAGCAGTCTGCGGGAGGCGCGTGGCGCGTGCGCTCCAACAATATCTTATCCTCAAGGTCGGCTGCACGCCATTTTTGCATCTACGCGGCCGTTGCCCCGCCATCTATTTCGCAGAGTCCTTTTCGCCTTCCTATTTATTACCTTCTTTCGCTGACTACCCCTCGCAGAGGGAGACGAAAGACGCGGAGTCTCACACGGCGAATGTAGGTCAAAGCAAAGCCCCTTGAATCAAACCACACCGCCACACAATCGCCAGTTTCCTTCCTCTACGACACACAACACGGGGCACACGTCAACCCCCGCACCGTGGGGCAGAAGACCGCTGGGGGCGGACAAAATTCTTAGACGCGTTTTGAGCTCCAGAGTCGCTAGATGGGACTCGAACCGAGCATGTGACCCCACCAATGGATTGCTCTCCGAACGGTGGGGTCACACGTTCGGTTTGAGTCCCATTCAGCGTCTCTGGAGCTCAAAACGCGTCCGGGATTTTGACCGCCTCCACGGGTCTTCTGGCCCACTGTGACAGGGCACACGTGAACCCCCACCCCCGTGTGCCTCCTCGAACGTCTTCGTCACTGCGACACCTGTAAGGAAAAGGCACGCAGTAGCGGCCGCGCGATCCAAAAGGCGCTCAGTTGCGGCCCTGCGATCTGAAAGGCACGCAGTATGCCGCGCGCGATCCAAAAGGCACTCAGTTTGCCCCGCGCGATCCAAAAGACACGCAGTTGACCGGCCGCCAGCGGTAAACTGCGTGTCTTTTGGATCGCGCGGGGCAAACTGAGTGCCTTTGGATCGCGCGCTGCAAACTGCGTGCCTTTCAGATCGCAGGCGCGCAACTGAGCGCCTTTTGGATCGCGCGGCCGCTACTGCGTGCCTTTTCCTTACAGGTGTCG